GGTCGAAAAGCTGAAGGCCGAGGCTCGCGCCAAGTCGAACTCACCCCCTACAACCCCTGGCATCAAAGTGATCCGCCGCATGACTAGCCAGAACATTCTGTCAGGAGTTGACCGTGCAACCAGAGCCATTACTGGGCTTCGGCTCCTTGCGTCCGAGGAGTTTGCTGACAAGCCGGACGCTATGCTCAACTTCGACTACCATCTGGATCAAACCATGCACGAATTGCAAAGCCGCATGGAGCGCCTCCAATCTCTAGAAGCCGAGAACCAGGGCGTTAAAAAAGAAATGGAAATGAAAGCAACTATTATCTCTGGCCTGACCAGAGAACGCTCGAGTCTGCAGGGTGCTTCGCCTGTGGACATGGCTTTAGTGTCGCAACTGCGCGATCAAGTCGTCTCCCAGGAAAGGCAGATCAACCACCTTCGAGACGCCCATGAAGCCCGCCAAAAGGAGCTGTTGACTGAGATTGATACTTTGAAGGGTCTTTTGAAGTCTCAAGAGAACGCTAGCTGGGCACTCGACGCCGGTGCCGAGGAGCAGGACCGGAAGATCGGTGCTCTGCAGGGAGAGCTCACGGAGTGGCAAGGCAAACACAAGAGTGCTCTAGAGTCCCTGCAGTCCTCGGAGTCGCAGCTCACTACTACTCTTGCTGAGCTGGAGGGTGCTTTGGCTTCGGTCGCTGCTATGCGCTCTGAGCGTGCTGTTACCGATTCCGACTCTACCGAGAAAGAAGTCACTGCGCAAGAGCTTGAGGGTGGCCGCGCCGAACAGCAGGAGCTTGTGGATAGCCTGATGAACAACATCGAGGATCACAAGTCTACTATTGCTACCCAGCTTGCTACGATTGCCGGGCTGGAAGAATCCCTCTCCGGTGCCCGGGAAAAACTGGCTTCACAGACCACTATTGAGGAAGAGACCAATACCGGTGCTGTTGACCTGGGTCTTTCTTCTCGGATGGCCGAGCTTGAGCAGCAAATTTCCGCCCACAAATCGTTTGTCGATTCTCACAATAATGAGCTGGCTACACTCCAGGAGTCTCACAAGCGTGAACTGGCCGAGTTGGAGGAGCGGACTAAGGCCGCTGCCCAGGCCGAGTACGATGCTCGTCTGGCTGAGAAGGATGCTGAGCATGAGCAATCCATGGCGACTTTGCAGAATGATATTGCAGAGTCTCGTAATGAGTTAGTCAATCTGCTTAAGGCTGTGTCGACTCTTCTCAACTCTGAAGTCTCAGCCGAGAACTTGACGGATCAGATCCATGATGTTTTAGTCCAGAAGCAGCACTTCTCAGACAAGTACGCCGAGCTTATGGACACCAATGAACACCTTCGCAAGCAGCTTGAGGCTAACGCCGATGCCGAGAGTCGTCTGGACGAAATAACCAAGAAGAACAACGTCCAGGACGCCAAGGTTAATGAGCTGGCTCTCTTGGTAGCTACATTAGAGGATACTCTTCGCCAGAAGGACGAACAGGTCAAGAAGAAGGAAGCCCTGGTCGAGGAGATCACAATCGAGAAGCAGAAGAGTGTGCGTCTCGTGGAGGAGCTGGAGGAACAAATTACAAACAGCTTCGATCAGCACCACAACCGTCTGTCCGTCATTCAGCAGGAGCGTGATCAGGCCCTGGAAGATGCCAAAGCCAAGATTGTGATCTACGAAGGCGACATCGAGACGTACCAAGTGCGGATCGAGCAACTTGAGCTTCAAATCAAGAACACCGAAGGCTCCCATGACCGCAGCAGCTCCCTCACCTCCAACCTTCGCAAGAGCTCTTCCGCCGCCTCTCTTCCCTCGCCTCCACCGGCGATCCCTCTCCCTCCCCTCCCCACTATCGCCTCGCATCCCAACGGCGCTTCGAGCGTGTCACCGCCCAGCTCTCGACACGCCAGCAAAGAGCTGTCCCACGTCCAAATGGTCGAGGAGCAGGAGGCTCGAATCCGAACAATCGAGAAGCACTTGTACGCCGAGAAGCAGCTGACCGCCACCTTGGAAGAGGCCCTCGGCGACCTTGAACTCCAGAGTACCAAGGTCAAGACCGACTGCGAGGCCTGGAAGAAGAAGGCCTGGGAATTCGAGGATGAACTCTCCAACCTCCGCAAGGAACGCAGCTCTGCCCGTCTGTCCCTCCAGGCCGTCGAAGAGGAGCGCACTGCCCGTCGTGAGGCCGAGGCTGCGCGCGCTCAACTCGAAGCGCGCATGATCGCCCTCAACAAGAAAAAGAAGAAGAGCACCCTCAACTGCTTCTAGGCGTTTTTGACTCTGACATTGCTCGCGTTTGAGCTCTTCCAGCATCAAAAGCAATCGCATTCTCATTCGTCTTTATCGTTCTGTCTGGTTGTACACTTTTTACCTTCTCTGTTACTCTTCTTGTCTTCTTTTTCTTTTTCTTTTTTTTTCTTATTCGTCCCTTGTTTCATACCCCTTTTTTATTTGATTCCAATCAGTTAGTCACCGATTTCCGTATTATGAGCTTTCACGTTTTTGTCACTTTCCCCTGTCGATTCCGTCAATACCTTGTCCTCCTTTTCTCACTCCATTCTTCACATATCTTTTCTTTTTCTACTTGCACTCATGAACCTATCATGACTTGTAGATCTTTTTATCGCCCTTTTATCGTCCCTACGCTGAATAACCTCGATGTTGTACATTCCGTCGGCTGTTTCTAGATTCCGTTGAATCTTCATGTCGCAATCGGGGGGAATCTTGTCAGCTCTCAGTTGCTTTTCTGCACTTGAATTTCATATGAATGTTCCCTCGTTCATATTGAAATTCTTGTTTCGTCCATTCTTATCAATGAAGTTACCAATGCCAGCTTATTTATTCTTTCTCGCTGAGCCTGTAGAGTACAAATCTGATAGGTTTCGAAATCCACTCCGTGAATCTGACTGAGTAAAGAGCAAGTAGATAATTCGAGCTTCATACTGCTTTGTTGAACCATTTAGTAAGATATCACTCTACGTTGTCTTTAACTGCTTTGCACCGAAGACTATATTGGATACTCGGCATGATAGTACGACTAACACTAAGCCCACCACGGCCTTAAGAGCACCGCAATCCAAGGGTCTATATCCTAGGTATTGGACGTTACAATGAGCTAAAACATCATCGAGACTAAATATCAGACAAATGGATCAATTAAATTTGTGAGATAACACTGTGGCATATTCGCATCACATGACGCGTATACCCCACGTGTCTTTAAGCTGGTTGCAACGGCAGCTCCAATCTCCAAGCTCTAAAAACAACTCACCATGGGCCTCCAACGGTCCAATGTGACAATAATCCACCCAGATCTGGGTATCGGAGGTGCCGAGCGGCTAATAATCGACGTCGCCCTAGCCCTTCAGAGCCGAGGCCACCGCGTAACTATCTACACCTCCCACCGCGATAAGGCGCACTGCTTCGACGAGGCGCGCGATGGCACGTTGGACGTCCGCGTGCGCGGAAACACCATATTCCCCGCCCATGTCTGCGGCCGACTCCACATCCTCATGGCTGCTCTGCGCCAGCTACATCTTACCGTGTCACTACTAGGTGAGCTTGGGACAAGGGAGACCCCGGAGGCAGCTACTACAACCACCGATGACGAAAATGACCGCGACGATATCTTCATTGTGGACCAGTTGCCGGCCTGTGTGCCGTTTTTGAAATCGTTCGGCCGCCCGCGCCCGTCCCGACGCCAGCGCATCCTCTTCTATTGTCACTTCCCGGATCAATTGCTCGCGCGGCGAGATGAGGGCGGCTCGCTTCTTCGCTTGGCAAAGGTGCTGTACCGGTTTCCGTTTGATTGGTTTGAAGGCTGGGCGATGAGCGCGTCGGATCGGGTTGTTGCGAACTCTAGATTCTCCCGCGGGGTCGTGCGTGACGTCTTTGGCTCGGACCGGTTGGGTGATGTGGAGGTGGTCTATCCATGTGTCGATATGGATCCCGGGGTGTCGGTGCCCGAGAAAGCGGAGGAAGACCCTCTCTGGGGCGGGAAGAAGATCCTGCTCAGCATCAATCGCTTCGAGCGTAAGAAGGATATGGGTTTGGCGATTCGCGCTTATAATGGCCTGGGAGCAGAGAAGAGGGAAGGGACGCGGTTGGTGATTGCGGGTAAGAAATTGTGCACAGATTTGCGATTTGCATAAATTCTGACATGGTATTTTCTAGGCGGTTACGACAATCGTGTCCACGAGAATGTTCACTACCACCAAGAGTTGGATGAGCTCGCGACTAGTCTCGGGTTGAAGACCGCAACCTCCAGGACAGTGCTATCTGCACTTTCAATCCCGGAGAACATTGATGTTCTATTCCTTCTTTCTGTTCCGACTGCATTTAAAGATACGCTGTTGGCACAAGCAAAGCTCCTTCTCTACACCCCCATCAACGAACACTTTGGCATTGTACCTGTCGAAGCAATGCGCGTTGGTCTTCCAGTGCTAGCATCTAATACTGGCGGCCCACTGGAGACGATTGTCGAGGGTGAAACGGGCTGGCTCCGGGATGCCCACGCAGATGAAGAGTGGACTGCTGTGATGGACAAGGCACTTTACGGACTGAGCCAGGAGGATCTTCAGCGCATGGCTCTTGCTGGCAAGAACAGGGCGCAACAAGAATTCTCACTCACTGCTATGGGCGATAGGCTAGAAGAGGAGATTTCCACCATGCTCAAAGCTGAAAGAAGGCCATTTAATGGGTGGCAGCAGGTCTTTGTCATTCTTGCACTGGTTGGGGCTCTTCTTGCAGTGATGGCTGCAGTTTTACTTCGAGTGCTATAATGCATAGTTTGCGTCACGCATTAAAATTTTGTACTTTATATTAATCTATAGATTAATCTTTCTCGAGTTACACCAGTTTCCCATCTCCTGTACTAAATAAATGTTTTGTCCACCCAACTTCACCAAAACACTCTCACATTCAAGTCACATGACCTCGTGTGTTTTGCTCGCGGTGACGTCGCGTCCCCCTCTATCTTTATCCTTAATCGGCCGCCCGAGTGGCATTGGGATCTCTCAACATGCCCGAAGTAATAGATCTTTTATCCTCCGATCCTCCTATCCCGCCAAAACCCCAGCCGCGACAGCAAGCCGAACTCCCGTCGCGACGTGCATCCCACCAGCTTAATCCGATTTCGTCAGACCCGTTCGATACATCCCTGTTCGACTATGAAGACATCTTCGACAAGCCCGCCAAGAAACGGCGAGTGAGCGATCAAGACACTTCTTCTGTGCGAAAAAGCACCACGCCAAACGAGCCTCGAGATCCGGCTTCTACGGCAGAGCCGTGGTTCTCGATCTCCGATGATGATTTTGACCTGCCGCCAGTAAACACCGCGGCTAAAAAAACCACATCCCAGTCGCGTGTTAAAGAGTCGGATCCAATTGTCTTTACCTCTTCAGCTCCAGCTCCCTTGAAGCCTTCGTCGCGGAAACCGAATCTTTCAACCCGGGATATTATTGCGCTTGATGACGATGACTTACTGACGGATCCCATGAAACCTCCGCCCTCGAGTTTCCGAGGGCGTAGCGATATTGATGAATTCAGTGATCCATTTTCTCTCCCGGAGTTTTCTGACCTACTGAAAAAACCTACTGTCTCGAATACCATCTTCTCCGAGTCGACTGCTCGCCTGTTATCTCGCCTTGGCGAAGATACTTCAGGCCCCAGAACAAAGTCCGGTACTCGAAAACAGAAAGGCACTAGCTTGGAATCTAAGGCTGCAGAGGTCCTCTCCGACGATGAGATTCATGAACCAGTAGTACCCCGGAAGGCAGCGAAGAAGACAAGCAAGGTTACTCCCGCTGAAAAGGAAGCAAAGGCCAAAGCACGCGAAGAGGCAAAGCTACAGCGACAACGAGAACGCGAGCTGGAGAAAGAGCGCAAGCTCAAGCTCAAAGAGGAAAAAGCGAATGAGAAACAACGGGCTGCCGATATCGCGAGCGTCAACAAGCTGAAAGTGAACAAAAAGGATTCTACACCAGAGATGATCGTCGACATGGCTACATCTCTCGAGGACAGCAGCGTCGGCACTCAAACCGTCGAGTTCATGAAACGACTCGGCGTCCAACATACATTCTTCACAAGCGCAATTCCCCACGTAGTAAAATGGCGTCGCAAAATGAACGCCACATACAACAGAACCCTACGCCACTGGGAGCCCTGTCCATTATTTATTCAAAAGGAAGACCACGTGCTGTGTCTGTTATCCGCGCAAGAGTTCATCAAAATGATAACCCCCCACCAGACGACGAAGAAAGAGAAACCCTAGAAATCCACGTCCTCCGAATTAAAAGCGCCTACCCAGAGTGCAAACCCATCTACCTAATCGAAGGCCTGACCGCTCTGATGCGCAAAAACACAAACGCACGCAACAGAGCCTTCCAAGCCGAAGTCCTGCGCCAACTCGCTGAAACAACGGTACCAGAGGAACAGACCACATCCAACAGAGCCCGAAAACCAAAGAAAAAGCCGGATGCGACGCCTCTCGTCGACGATGAGACTGTCGAAGATGCTCTGCTCGAACTACAAGTCACGCACTCCTGTCTCATCCACCACACGACCGCGCCAGCCGACTCCGCGGAGTGGATCAAGAATTTCACCGAGCACATCTCGACAGTCCCGTACCGTCGTGAACGACAGGAAGCCCACAATGCTGCCTTCTGTATGGATACCGGGCAGGTGAAGACCGGCGCCGACAAGAAGGATACTTTCATCAAGATGATCCAGGAGGTTAGCCGCGTGACGGCTCCTATGGCTTATGGGATTGTGGGCCAGTATCCCTGTGTTGCGGATTTGACTCGTGGAATGCGGATGCATGGCCCTCTGATGCTGGAGGATATCAAGGTAGGTTTCTTTTTCTTTCAATCGCTATACTGGTTTTTCTCTATATCTATACTGGCTTTGCTCTTTTTTTCTGCCGGATTCTCTACTGACTGCTGTAGAAATCCGCGAATAAGAACGGCTCCCTGACGAATGCGCGCATTGGACCCGCTGCCAGTAAGCGGCTGTACAAAGTGTTCACTGGACTCGATCCGAGTTCAACGGACATTTAGGTTTGTTTTTGGCCTCATTTGGCTCATTTGGTTTTTTGGTTATCATTTCCATTTTTGGCTTGAGCTACTGCAGAGCGTAGCTTTGCATTCTGGACGCATCCAATTGGGGTGTCGGATTATCTTTTGGTTAATCACTCCAGTACGGAGTAGTTGGGCTTCTAATACTCTGCCTCGCCTCTCTTTTGGTTGGGGAATTGGATATTTCCCTGCAAATGAGATAGATTTTCTTGGCTATGAGGCTGCGGATGCCAGTTGGTGCAGGATGCAGTGATCACTTTCTTCTTTATGGAAATGTTGTATTTGGACATCCTCGTAATATGATAGAAAGTATTGAAACAATAAAGACTGCCTAGCTATATGCAAATGCCAGACCCACATCTATGCATAGAACCCATTATCAACGCCAATATAAACGCATATGTCAAAACATCAAGGACATACACAAGATCAAATCAAATGCTTCCATACTAAACACTAAACAACAACCCCCCTCCTCTTCCACCCCCTCCAAGCAGCCACCCAAGCCAGAACAGCAACCCATACACTAACCGTGCAGCCAGCAGCCCAGAACCCATAGCATCGCCATCCATGGCACTGACCATCAGCGCCATCACCGTCGCCCCGATCCATGGCTTTCTGATATGCCGCGGAGTAGATAATGCCCCAGAGTGCCGCACCAGCCGCAGGCATCATGGCAACGATACCCCAGTTTGTGGCGAAGTTCTCGACGCCCCAGACGACAGAGATGATGATAGGCGCGAGGGAGAAGGCGCTGCCGTATCCGAAGCCGATCAGCGCGGTTGTCAGGTTGAAGATGCCTGGGTGCGCTAATGGGAGAGGGGAGGCGAGGAGGAGGTAGCCTAGGGAGAGGAGGAAGGCTGAGGGGATGAGGAATGTCATGCGGGATAGAGTGAGACGCGAGGATGCAGGGGATGTGAGGGGCGCGTATCGGGCTCCTTCGGAAATCGAAGGGAAGAGGTGTGTTGCCGGGGGTGCGAAGAAGTCGGAAAGTGAGCCTGTTAGAAGGCGCGCGATGGTCGAGGTTAGGGCTATGGTTGTGACGTGGGTTGAGGGGGATCCGGCTGGGGGTGATGCGCCTGTGGGATAGGATTGAGGTGTGAGGGTTGGGATGATTGTGCCCAGCTATTTTGGATAATAGGTTAGTTATGGGTTGGAGTGAGATTGGAGACGAACTCACGTTGTTGATGTACGATTCGCCGGGGCCGGTGACCAAGAAAAAGCCTGCGGCCAGCCACCACATGGTCTTGTCTTGTAGGAATACACGGGTTTCATAGTTGAGCAGCCAGTTCCTCTTCCGGCGCTCCTCTTCCTCGCGCTCCTTCTCTAGCCTTTGCTGCTCACGTTCTTCATCGGAGAGGATTGATTGCTCCTCGTCAGATGAATCAGAGAACGTGCCGTACTCAATCGCTTGTGGTCGGAAGAAATCACTCTCCTCTAACAGTCCACTGCGCTCTAGTTCTTCAACCGTCTCATCAATATACTTATCATCATCCTCCACGATGCGCAAGGCAAAGGTACCGATGATACCAATCACCAGCAAAAGCAGCGCCAGAAAGACAAAGTATTTATAAACGTCGAGATCGCCGTGACTCCCATCCTCGAGGCGTTCATAGAACAGGTACGTCCCGAGCTGGCTCTGCCACATACCACTGAGACCGAACGCGGCAATCGGAACAGCAAGCATAATCCCCTTGTGCTTTCCCCTGCCAAAGTTCTTGGCGCACGTCGCAATAGCTGCTAGGTACATGCAGCTAGTCCCCATACCAATGGCGATAAACGCCACGATCATCACCCAGAATGGCTGACCGGAACCACCCGCATCAGCAGGTGGGCCACTTTTATATGTGAATGCAGCGAGGAGATACCCGACGCCAAACACCAGTCCCGAGAACATGGCCAGTGGCGATGGGCTGTAGCGGTCACACAAGTAGCCGAACAAGGGGACGGGAAGGTACATTGCGATCTCGGCAGCGATGGAAACGGCATTGACCTGGAGCTGCGAGTAATGGAGTCGGGTAAGGAGAAGATGGCCATACAGAGAGAAAGCAGTGATGCTGCCGGCTCCCAAGCTGCAAAACACGAATATAAGAGTCAGCTTCCAGGGTCCCAATGGAGATAGATCCTCTCGTAAGCATGACTGCAAGGAAGAAAAGTTTCACATACCAAGTAACAACACCCCAGCCAAAGCTGAGCACTCGGATAACCTCCTTTTGCATCCTCCGTCTGTCCCGCTCGACAATCTCTTCGACGACATCGCTCAACAGCCCATCATCACTCAGTCCGTCATTACCGGAGCTCCGTGAACCTCGTCGTGAGTATCGCCATGACGGCTCTGCGTTTCGGTCTGTTGTATTTTGTTCCGCATCAATATTTTGGAGGAGCGGGCGATTCGCGTCGAAATCGCGCTTATCGATTGTCATGGTGCCTTCTCCGCACCGGTTACGCTAGGCTGTGTAACCGACTCTTTGCCTGAGGGGAAGTGTAAGATGGGTGGTATAGATGGGTATGGAAGGCGGGAGGCGTTTGAGATAGAACTATATGGTGTTCACGATTTGGCCTGATATGTACGCTGAGTACGATTGTCCCTGTGATGGAGCTTCAAGGGTGGAGCGGTGTCTGCTGGGTGGATCCTGAGATTGCGTTGTTCAATGCTACGTCATTGGAGTTCAGCTTTTGATCCCGGAGAGTTATGTTCAATGTAGAATTGTAGGTAGGTAATATATGTGTTGCTCAAAAGGCGTAGTCGTCAAGGCAAGCTGAGGAGGACTTGAGCGGAGAGAGCGGAGAGAGTTGGAGTCATTACACGTGACTCATTCTACTATACCCGATCACGTCATTGTACGGAGTAAAGGGATACCTATATTGTGAGATAGTGGAAATGAAGGGAAATACACCATCTAGAGATAAAAAGGATATTCATGTACAAGTAAGACCATAGGATAACAACAGGCAGACCGAAAAAAAGGATTTGGAGACATTGGGGGGTATTATCAATATCAATAAAACAGAAAGAAAAGAAACTGATACACGCCCGAAAAAAAAAACAAGACAAAAAGGCTTCTGAGAAACAAAAAGAAGAAGAGAAAAACAAGGCCAAAGACAAAATAAAAACCTCAAACGACTCTAAATGCATCCAAGCGTTGACGGGGATCATAGAAACACCCATTGAAGGGCCGGGTCGTTATTTCGTAGTGCCGACGATCAGGCGGGATCAGGCACTGGTGCATATGAATGCTGGCGTTCCGATGTGGAAGGATCTACCCTCCGAACGCCACGTATCGGCAGTGGGCCGAGAGATGATAAAAACAAAAGAAAGCAAAAGGCGAAAAGGGAAAAGGAAAAGGAGCTAGAAACTGACTTCGCCCGCGTCGGTTTCTATCATGGTCTCATCCCAATATTGAGAAGAGGGTCGCTCACGAGCCTCGGGTTGAGAGCCCAGCGCGATGGCTTCACCTTCACCTCGTTCCACGAATTCCTCCAGACTGACCTCCTTCATAATTCGCTGGAAATACATTCGGAGTGTGCGGAGGCCACGCAGATATCCACGATCAATGTCGTGCGGGCTGTGAGGTGGGCATGGCGTATCCGGAGGAAGCTTGTCCTCGCCAGTGATGCAATTAGCGAAATCGACAATCTTCAGTTGAACGTTCAGTTTGCTCTGGCCGTCTGCATGGTTTCCATTTTTAGAACGCGGCGGTTCTTGCTGAGGTGGAGATTGTGGTTCTCCGTCATAAAGAATCAACAGACTGCTAGCATAGAGCCGGTAGCTACTCAACTGTCGAATCATGTGCTCTAACAAAGCTAATTTCTCCAGAATGACAGGGATCTTTTTAGCAACACTGGCATAGCTGACACCATCGTATAGGAATCGAGTCAGCGCATCCTGGAACTCACGACCAGATTTCAAATCTCGCCCGAAATACTTGTCTTCAAACATGTACTCCTGCTTCTTGACGTTCCAGGACTGCATGCCACAGAGCCGCACACCCAGCTGCTGCGAAGTAGTGGACTGACATTTCCGTCGCTGAGACTTCTTCTTCTTCTCATTCGCCTCGATACCATATTGTCGGGTGCCCATCTTCAAATCCAGCACGCATGGTTTATTCATACCAGCTGTCAGATCCTCAAGGAGGAGGAAGAACTGCACTCTTTCGTCCTTTCTCAGCTGCGCCTCTTTGGGGTTGCTGGGCAAGATCGTGTTGATAGGTTCCTGTGGTTTGAAGCGCGTTGGATCAGAAGTTCTACCGAAAGCAGCTTCGGTTGCGTGGCCACCATTGGTCGAGTTATTTTCCGACACTGGGACCGTGGAGGAACCATTCGACATTGAGGCATCGGCTTCCATGGAGAAAATCCCATCCTCCTTGTCACCGCCATAATCATCGTCATCGAAGAACATGAGTTCCCCATTGTTGTTAGAGTCCATGGTACCACGTCTCCGAAGGCCACTCCCGGAATGACGCCGTCTTGGGTGGTGAACCCGAGAGAGCGAGCTTGCTCGGTCAGGCTCTTCGGTCCGGATCTTCTCTAGGCGGTTTTGATTGGCTTCTAGGGCAGTCGAAGCCGACGATGAAAGAGCAGAGCCTTCACTAGGAGTCACCTTTATGTCAATCGCTTCTGTCTTTAGCGCCGCGACTGGGCTAGGGACTGGTCGTTGATTGGTAGCTGTGCAGTCTTCTGATAGATTCTCTCGACGGTGGGTGGCGCCCGGCATATCGGAATTAGCTCTTGGCAAATGGACATGACCACGAGCATGTCGACGATGATGATGAATGGCAGGAGGGCTGAATACCTCGCGGAGAACCTGCTCCTGAAGCTTGAGATTGACGGTCGTGGCGCCCCAGATCTTGGCCCGCTTACTCATAGGCGATGTATCAGACTCCGCTGACATACCTTTCAGACCGTCAACGGATCGTGCGCGGCTCATTGAAGCATCTGCTGTCCGCGGTCGCTGCTGACGGGTAAAAAGATCGGCAGGAATTATATGGCGATTGTTCTCAAGAATGACCTTGGGGATGACTCCTGTGACTTGGGACTGGCTAACAATTCGCTGTGGCGGTTGTTGCTTTGCTGACTCTGGAGGCTCAGAGCTGGGCGTTGAAGTTCCATTGGCTGTCGGATCTGGAATTATTTTATCGGCAGAATCGACCTGGTCCTTTCGTTTGGATGTCTTCGAAAAGGTGACATTCAACACTCCGATGTACCTGATCAAAATATTAGTATTTAATATGCTGATAACCGTCTGATTTTCGTGGAATTGATTTTACATACTTGGGAAGAAATACCAACATATCTGGGTGCCTCAGTTCAATGCGTTCGTAGAACTCGTTCTCTCGGTTGTTCAACTGCTTGCATACAGCGCGTCTGGAAAAGCGGAAAACAGTTGTGTGCCCGCCAACCTGATGTCGATAGGGCTTCAATTCCACGGCACCAAGAGGCCCCGGGGGCGGGGGTTTGGGACGAGAGAGAAGCCGAGAAGGCTGGGTGGGTGTGGCACTCGGGGTTTCCACCTCGTCAGCAGATGGGATACTTTCATCCGCTGATTGGGGTTCGACTTCGGAATCGTAGATTGAATCGCTGCATTCAGAGATGGTACTCAAAGGCTTTTCTGGCACATTCTCTCGTTGAGAATGGATATCGCCATAAAGGATCTTACTTTCATTCTTAGATCGAAAGGATATATCCACATGGCTGATTTCCTTTTTGGGAGAATCGCTACGCTCTTGAGGTACTAACATCAGCTCATGACCTTTCTCCGCAGCCGACAGCTGACCCGGCTGTACATGAAGAGGGCTATCGGGAAATTGTTGCAGGCCCTCAACCCCATCAGGTACCGTACGCTCGTGAGGGAAGTAAACGGCAGAAGAAATCTGCTCGTTTTCTTCCTCCTCAACCTGACCACGCTCCTCTTCCTCGAAAGAGTTAGACGGGGATACCTCGGCATGAAGATCGCTCTGGAAGTAGTCACGGGCGCGCTCTGAATATTGAGTTGGAATGCTTCTTGAGAAAGAGGACCCATGGCTACCACCAGGCGTGAGATGAAAGTTTCGGATCTCCTCTAGCAAGCTGCGAGGCAAGGCTGTAGGGCCACGCTTGGAGGGGTCATCATCGTATGTGGTCTGAGATAATTCAGCCGGGGGAGGTTGGAAAGACGGCGCATCGCCAAGTGCGGAGAGTGATGTGCTTTTATGAAGCGACGTTTCCTGCTCTGAGCGATATGATTCTTGTTCATGTTCCATGATGCGATCCTTCGACTCCAACGTCTCATCTTGTGGTCGGCCGCGATCCTCCCGTCGTTTGCGATCCGGCGAAGAAGTAGTGTTTTCTTTGAAAAGGCCCAGGTAGTGGCTAGACTTACGGCTGCGCACATTAGAGGCCGGCTCCGGGTTGGTAAAATTGGCCTCAATCGAGCTGTCAACTCGGCCACGACGGCCTCTGCTGGGGCTTCGCTCAAGCGCCACAGGGGCCTGAGGTTTTTCTTCTTTCGGACTGTATGATAAGAGATCCTGACTGATCTGAGAGCCCTCGTGGCCAGAGGTTGGGATAGTCAAAGAGTGAGAGGTACGGGAGACATCATCTAATGCAGACGGGAACAATTTCCGCTCAGGTAAAGTGCCTTGGAACCGACTGGTCTTCGTACCTGTGTTATCCCATGGCACCTTGTATCGCTGGGATCCGGCCAAATGAGGCGGCGCACACGTCTCTACCTCGGTTTTCTTTGAGCGACCAGTCGGCGAGGTCGATGTGCGCAGCAGAGACAAACGAGGGAGGTCGGTGGATGAGAAGAGGGTCGAGGAACGCAACGGAGAGGTTCTGTGGACGTCAACTTCCATGCGGGAAGGGTCGACGCTATAACGATGGGGAGAGACCTTGGAGAATGCACTTGGAGACACGGATGCATCGTCAAGGCTAGGAATCAAGTTGACCTGGCGTTCATTGCCCAAGGCCTTTTCGGGGGGTAGTTGTGGGGTAGTGGCGGCACTATCAGAGGGGAGGTAATGAGTAGCGAAGATACTGTCACGTTCGGACAGTTGAGGCCTGTAGACAATATCAGGCTGCGCGGTGTTCTCCGGAGGTGTGGTAGCGGTTCTTTTTAGAGGGAATATTCGGGAGACGGGCTGAGACCAGGAATGGGCGGTGGGGGATTCCGCGCGCGACGGTGATAAAACCTCCCCAGAGCCCCGAGACAAATGAGCTTGCGGCAAATGGTGACGTGGGCCACCCCCGATGATATTGGAGCAATCATGTTGGGCCGGTGTAGCAGGTGTCACCAGGGGACTAGGCAAGGTATCTTCGGGAACGGACGGCGAGTTTGACATGGGGAGGACATTGGTCAAGCACAGGACGGGATGGTATGGAAGCGGAAACCGGAATGGTTGGGCGTAAGTAAAAAAAAAAAGGAAGATTTAAGACTAAGAGAGAAGCCTAGAACAAGGAAGAAAGATAGGCGGGTTAGAGGAATGTCTATCTATTGGCAATCAAGGGGAAAGAGTTATGGGCACGTTGAGGCAGACAGAGATCTTACAGGCTAAAGGAAAAGCCGCAAATCGGTGAGAAGGCCGGAGGATCAAAAGAGTCAAGGGGAGTTGCAGGGAAAGGGAAATTTGAAGTTTGCGAGAGACAGGCCTTGGGATCGTCACCGCCCTTGAGTGGATCCGATTTGGGCCAAGATTGGGATAAAAATGGGATGAAAATGGGATGAAGATGATATTGGAGATTGAGAAGGAGAGGAAGAGGCAGATCAAGGTAAAGAAAGATGAAGTCATAAGAGAAATATATGGGAGTCCATGGCACGAGACAGTCCAAGTACAGGTTCTATAAGCACCCGGCCTATCATTGTGCAACGTCTTACGAACTTCCTGACTACTGACTGCTAGGGTTCCTAGACTAGAGATTGAGATTATTATACTAGATTGAATCGAGATCTTGGGATGATATTTAGGGATATTAGGGATATAATAGGATATAATAGGATATAATAGGTATTGTACAAAGTACGAAGTAAACTCCCAAGGTTCTCTATTATGAGATCTATCAACTTCTACAAACCAAATATTTATGGCTATATCTTTTGATTCTTACCTGCCAATCATCTGTCTCAATTCATAGTGTGCAGCCATGTCGATCGCTAATAGGTGATTCACGGGACATTTCTGTAACATTGACATCTCGACATCTTACATCTTGATATCTTAATATCTTAGGACGGAGTACTCCGTACTCCGTACCTCAATAAATATTAAATACTAGTCTAGTCTGGGGTTAAGCTCGTAGACTAAAACGACCAAGGCTTTTCTTCTCACCAGATGGCCCCATAAGGGAACTAAAAGAACTAAAGCCCCCCACTTCGAAAAGCCACGACCTTATCTCCAGAGATATAAAAGGTACTAGTATACCCATAGATATGTATGGATTTATACTGGATTACTCCCTATTGGTAACCTCAGCACACTTGATTATATTAAAATGGATAATCCAAGACAGGAAACACACAAATTCAATCCAACAGCGCCTAAGATGTGATTGTGATGAGATAAAGTGATTGGCAGCCGAGCGCGTCGTGACCCAACCAGAGTGCTCGGCGATGTGAAACAGATGCATTAGGGGCCAAGGAAGAGACTAGGATGGTGTTTCTCAACGAACCAGCTTCTTCGTAGAAGAAAAGGAGAGGAGATCCCCGCAGACCTCCGACTTTTGTACTCCCCGCTGACAAGGCTCCTATGGTCTACGACTCCTTAGTTTACTGTCGGCCTCCTTCCACCATGCGCCTTCTTTCACACTTGAGGCCCTATAGGCACTGGGACCTTATACCTTCCATTTCCCATCGCATGTCCTTGAGTTCTCCCTTTTCGTTCATCCCATGAGAAAGCCGTTGAGTCGTATGTCATACAAGGTTCTTCCTTCAATTATCTACCTTGCGATCAAGGCCAAATCTACTATTTTACTCTTGAGAAGATCTCCATCAGAGTTATATCCATTCACTTGATAGGAGGTTCCCGAGAAATATACTGCCTTCAAAATGAGTCGCTTGAACGTGGATACAGGAGGAAATCACGAGAGGTATTCGTTTATGGAAACACCACTCGAAATGCACCCGTCATCGCACCAACAGGGTCTATCAGCACTTCCTCTAGCGGGCGCGAATGTGCACCCACAGCATCCTGCAGTGGAAGAACCACCGAAAGAGCGACAGCGAGCATGGTCTTATGCACCGAGTGAGAAAGAACAATTTCAGCATCAGGGGATAATCCCGGACTATGCCAATTGTCCGCCCCTCGAGCAGCACCCGGCCAATTATGCGCCTTTGGTCCAAAGCCAGGAGCAGCAGCAGCAGCAACATGGCACTTCAATGTCTCCTCAGACGTCTACAATCGCGCCCGAGCACCAACAACACCATACCCAATCTTATACCAGCCAGTCTTTTACAAACATAGCCGAACAGCAGAGTCACACGGTTTCTCCCCAGGAATATGCGAGTCAATCGTATGCAAATATACCAGAGCAACAGCAGCACCAATGGCACCAACAGATTGGCATGACCATATCTCCTCAGTATGCGAACATACCCGAACGACAGCAGAACAGCACCCCGATGTCTCCCCACTCATATGCGAGTCATCCATATGCGACGCAGTCATACCACATCCCGAATCAACAGCGCGAAATACCCTCCCAGAAATATGCCTCGTATACCGAAACCCCCAGCTCGCCACCCCCGAACTCACCAGGGCCACTGCCCCTGAAAGTAAGCCCCGAAGGTCCACCACGAAGCGAAAGCGTGCCCATTGTTCCCGACGAGAATCCCCTACAGTCACCCATATCGCCCTATTTTCCTCCGATTACTAGACCGAGAACATCGCATGCTCCCCAGCCGGATGATCTGAGCTCATACCACCAGCCCGGCCAAACAACCCATCCAAACCAGGAGATAAAGGGCGGAGGATGGAGCAACGGACTGTGCGAATTTTCGAATTTCGGAATCTGCTGTCTAGGACTGCTATGTCCGTGCATTTTGTATGGGAGAACGCAACACCGACTCTCGATGAAATCGAGAAAGGAAGACCCGACCAACATGCTCGGCTATGAGACCTGCAACGGGTCGTGCACGGCGATGGGACTACTATGCGGATGTCAATGTAAGCCGAAGTCCAATTTCAACCTCAGTTCCAAGCTTGAGTGAATATCGCGACCGAGCAACTGAGAAGGAAAAAAAAAGCATCATTCTAACATCAGCACAACAGGGTTACTGGCCACGGTCCAACACACTAGAACGAGAAAGGCATATGGCATTCAGGGTAGTATCGCATCGGACTGCGTGCGGGCAACCTGTTGTACATGCTGCACATTGATTCAGGACGAGAAGGAGATCCAGAAGCGCGAGGAGTATCGCTCGCGAGCGGCTAGGGAACGGGGGGCGACTCTGCTCTCGCCGTATACTACTCCCGGGCCAATGTCGTATGGCCCGCCACGGAGATAATGCGCCATGGCTAGCGAAGAGCAGGCTTCGATGGCGTGGAGTGTCTATACATGTATATAGTTTATGCATTGTGATGTAATAGCGTTTATCATTTGATGTATCTTTTTATTTACTCTTAGGGACAGAGGACTCCGTAGCCTGTCAGCTTTGTCAATCTACAGGCAAGAATTCAAGACTGAAGCCGGCAGTTACGTACGAAATCTACTGCTCTCATCAATGTTGCAGACAATTGTATGCGGTTGGTGGCATGTGATTTATCATATTGCCACCTACGTTGGAAACAGGGCATGGTGAGGGTTGAGATCAGGTTAGGCACAAGCAGAGAACAAAACAGGAAAAATGGATTAAATCTAGTAGAATCAACGAGAAAATGCGTATGTTCATCTCTAAGCATTTATTTTAGCCTAACAACATGTAATCCTATCGCCATAGGTATCCACTCAAGCCCTAGAGTTTGACAGCCAATAATTGAACCCTTTCGCGACATTTACTAGCTACATATGTCCATAGACGAGTACGAACCATTAAACCTTCAATAAGAGTATTCAAGGGTCTCGCCCACCACATATCAATCCCAGACTGGGCATTCGAGCCATGATAGCAGGCCACCCTCCAAGGTATGGAAGGTAGCAATTCAGGTCGCAATTTAAGGTAGAGTACAGAGTACTACCAATAGTCGCCCCTGGGATGTACCATATCAATAAACTCGAGAGAGATCGTGCGATCGCACGATCGGACAAACCAAACTGGCGGGTCGACACCGATCTCACCGGGGATGGGTCGATGCGCCACGATGATCCACTAAGTGGCTCGCCCATTCCCTCTGAAGAGTCTATGGAGTCCCTTATGTGCATCCGACACTGCAGCACCGGCTGTCAAGCTAGCCATGATACTATGCAAGGCGATGCATTGAAGGGGCGCATGGACCGTAGATATATCTTCACGTTAAAACTGATGCATCAATTAGTAACGGGGGATCTCTTCCCCGGAAAAGGTTGATACTAGTTGTCAAAGCCCTTGTTGTTTCCTGAGTAGGGTTTGACTAGTTGCTCTGACGTTAATCGGCTAATATGTAAGGGTGGGATATATATCAGCTACTACTGTGGGAGAGCAGCCATTCCTTAAGGTTATATTCAAGGTGAGACCTGTTCATTTCCTTGTTCGCTTCTGTGTATATATCCTGCGTCACGCTGATATTGGTGCCTCCACTCATTTGGGGAGTCACTCTATACTTGGTGATACGTGCAATATGGCGGATTCAGTGGCTTGGATTCCGCATCATCTCTCGGAAGATCAACGGCAGCGGTCTTTTTGTGGATGACTGGCTCATTATCATTGCGTTGGTGAGAAGCACGCCTTGATTGTTTATGACAAGGCTAACTTGCAAACAGATCTTCGAATACGGTATATCGATAGCCGGAGTTGTTTGTACGTCGAATATCATTCACCTAAACCAGCCAGGAGCTAACGCACGGCAGTACTCTACAATGGACTCGGAACCCATATCGTCGAGATCTCCCCCGAACAGCTCGTTATCTACTTGAAGGTATGGAATTACATCCGATTCGCTATGAAACGCATGCGTGTACTAATAGACCCACAGACACTGTTTACAGGCTCGATCCTCTATACCGGCTGCATTGCAAGCATCAAACTATCCATCCTGATGCTTTACCGCAGACTGTTCCCTGCCAAGAGCATGAAGTACGCCGTCAATCTGCGGTATTCTCGCGGGCTGCTTTATTTGCATCCCAACCGAGAAGCTGTGGCATCCCATGCTACCAGGTGGTTGCATGAATCGTCAAAATTCTATTACGGTCTTCAAGTCCCCAACATCGCAACGGACGCAATCATCCTCCTGATGCCTATGCACATTGTGTGGACTCTTCCCATCTCCAAGGTCCAGAAGCTTGGTCTTTCCGGGATTTTTATTCTGGGAGTCTTGTAAGATTTTGCTGTCTCTATTCCAAGTATTCTTCTAATTAATGCAGAACTTTAATATTCGACATCATTCGTCTGGTCGTCCTGATTCAGCTTTCCACCCAGGGTGAAGACATTACCTGTACGTGAAATTACTCTCCAACCTACATATGAGGGCTCCTCACTGATATAAAAACAGATAACCAAGTCCCAGCAAGCGTGTGGACTTGCATCGAGCCCGCTGTCGGAATAGTTGCCGCCTGTCTGTCAAATATGCGGCCTTTGTTCAAGGTCATTCATACCAAAGTCTGGTCTAGGCTTTCCAGCCGATATGCCACCCACACGAACAATCCCAGCGATTCACAGATTAACGAGAAGGGTATTTGGCCGCGACAGACACCTAGCCCGAGTAATTCGCCCAGTCCTAGTGGTGATTTCAACCAGTCGCCTACTCATAATCAGTCTGCTGTGTAAGATAGGATCGAAACTACATCTATATGGATCGGAGTTTTTCTTCTGCTTTTCTATCAAAGGGGGAGGTACCATATCATTCATTCTTTTTTGCCTTTTGTATTTTTACCTACGGCGAGAAAGCCAGGATCGCTTTGTTAGAAATTTTCTAGATCTTTAAGAGGAATCGAACACAAAGAATCCAAACAAAGTTATTATCTTTTGTCTCTATTAAGTAATTCTCAGCCAATCGACAAAGTCGTTGACTCAGTGCAACTAGCAGTACCAGAGACACGAAAGAGTGAAATAACCACCCGAGGAGAAATGACAAGAAAACAAAGGCTTTTCATAGCCTTTGGTGCCTTTATTTCTCCACGGAAAGGAGTTCAATGTTCAGCTAGCTGAATATCAACCGGAAATTTCATAAATAGCTCCCATTGCAGCAATTTCCCGAGTAAATCGATCAAGCAACCCACATTCAGCCCTCTAAGAATAAGGTCCGCACTCTCATTTTCTTTCAGTCCGGTCTATTTAGAAAGACCCAGGTGAGTTCCAATTCCCGACCCTGCTTAGCCTTGAGTTTCTAAAAGATGTATAACTGTGAGCCAGCACGCTCGCCGTGGCAAAAAAGCTTCCAAATGGAGGGCCGCATTTTTGTGAAACAGGCAGAGGCTCTGGCTAATTACACCAGAAAACATCCGGAAAATTATGATTATGAGCAAAACTGCAATGTTCATAGAGGGCTTATCAGACTATGGTCTCAAATAGCGCGAGTGAAAGGCACTGGGCTTGATATGGTTGCGGAAACCCCAAGATGTTCTCTCGTTCTTAAGCAACGCAGCTATTGGTTCATCCGGGATCTTGCAGACCAGACTGAGTTTGAAGACGATTGCGATGAGATAGAGGCCCGCCTGGAGGCACTGGCGGTAAAGGTCCAACAACGCGAGTTAGAGAACCTTTGGATTGCTGGAGTCCTTGAGTCGACGGCTTTGCATATTCAGGACAAATTCCATGTATAGATTATATATCTTGTTGGAATTGGTGTGTAAATTTGTATGGATTCAGCCACGATGACCAATACCATAAATTCGAGCCTTTATTGTTACATCATATAGAGTTTTTATTTCAGCCTTAATATATAAGCCCGATAGCATCTTTCATTATCACATCAACTCAACACTATATTCGTCGCTAGTACATCTATGGCCTCATCCTCAAATTGCCTCCTATGCGGAGTGCAGCTTTTGAGGATTACTGACTTCCAACATATAAATTCACTCCGTCGCATTGATTTGGTACAAGAAAAACAATGGAAGCACCATAAGAAGGCCAAGCTTAAACATGTGATGGTCCCATCAAAGGAGGTAGAGGAGGCAGAATTCACGAAGTATCCCAACATGTGGACATGCATGTGTCGAGCTAGTGAGTTTTATAATCGCGCCCTAGACCCAGTTTACCCTAACAGACACAGTTATCAAAGAGCCCGATAGCAAATACTTTCTGAGCGGTATCACTGCATTTGAAGGAGGATACCCTAATCCCGGGATTATTCCAAAAAGCCCCGGCATGGCGCGAATTGGTGGAGAAGACTTGAAAACCCCCGATACGACGACTCCTTCATTCAATTCTATCCAGCAATACTCTAAAGACAACCGAGAGAGTACAAACGCAAAAATGTCGGATTCGTTGTCCATGCGCACTGCTGGGTTTTTCTTAACCACATCATATCAACGACACTGATCGAGAGCAAAATGGAGAAATTCGTTCGCGCTGCCCGACAATACTGGCGTAGCCGCGGATCGTGGGGAGCTAATGATTATCCGTTCAGGATATTGAAGCGTAGGCAGACGAGACTTAGGACTCGGTCGGGATATTGGCAGTGGAAGGATTGGGATCCAAAGGACTCCAAACATGCCTGTGATATTTACAGGAGTCCTCTCATAGTGCCCGAAGTTCAAAGAGCAATTGAAAGCGCAAGGAAGACCAAGAAGGAACGTGTGCAATCCCGTTACAGTGACGTGCCATTGGAAGTTGCGATTATGATTGCCGATTTCATCTGCCCTGTTGACTATACACCGGCTGATTTGAAGAACACACGGAATATGCTTTCTGTATTGCAGTGGACATTGCCTGATTGGTTTTGGAAGAGGCGGCTAAAAGAGGAGATCTTCATTGAGTTGAACTCACTCAGGGAGGCCAACTGTTCAATCGATTGGCAGGGCCTACGGCTTGATTTGATGGGTCTTGTTTTTGATAAGAACTGGTATGTTTTAAGCGGTTTGCCGAATCGTGACCGAGTGCTTGGCTTTATGACGGGTATCAAGTCGCATTTTCTCGAAATGCGTTGAGGGTGGAATGAATTAGGAGGACTTGCTATATTAGTGATGTGAAATGAATCGCCAGTTAGGTATAACGGACTGTGATGTCTCCTTATGAATGTCAGTACTGCTATCTCTTGTTACGCTTGTATTTGTAGAAGCGCTAATCACAAGGTGGAGTTATCCGTAGATTGCCAGGTACCGGGTACTTTATACTAACATCGCCATTTGAAGGTCAGGCAATGCGCTACGCCCAAGCGAATATGCCTATTGCCCACGCCGTAATTACAGACGTGAACGGTTAACATCAAATATGTGCGGAGTATGTCCTACACGTAGCAGGCGCTAAGACAGCATCCCCGCCCACATGACTCGAGCGTGTGGACGTCAAAGCTCCGATACTCGGTCCAACGCTTATCCAAACCCCGAAGTGGGAATTGGGCTGCACGGTCTAATGCCAAATGTACTTTTTGTATACTAGTATGCAGCCCAACTCCCGATAAGGTTGGGCCGTGCGTTAAGCCGAATAGAGGCGTCTGCGGGTTCTTAAGAGGCGTTTTCTCCTTTGTTTTTGTTTTTGCCTGAATATGCTCCCTTGAGATTTACGACCTTCACGTACACCCAACATGCGCGGTCTCGACGATAGCACTGATGTATTTATACGTACTGGCCAAAAGGCCCAGAAACATGTGCGGCTTGCTTGGGAGGGCTTCATCAATTTTGCGGCACGGGATAACGTTCTCGAGGTTGCGTTGGGTTTGATGTGAGCTCTCCCTATCGCATAAAACTAATCAAAATGCTAACATCTCAAAAGTATAGCCAATGCGTTCACTAAAGTCGTCACATCTTTCGTCACAGACATAATTCTGCCGATTGTCTCTCTACTGCCATTCCTGAACCGAAACATGGACCAGAAATTCGCCGTTCTCTCCAAGGGTCCGACCTACGACCAGCAGAATGGGTATAATACCCTATATCAAGCGAGAGAAGATGGAGCACTGGTTCTGGCTTATGGGTATGTAGACCCACCTCAGATACTCATGGAAGGTCTCTCCCATCGATGAGTTTTAACACAACCTTTATGCAGACTGTTTGCCGAGACAGTTCTCAACTTCCTGGGTGTCAGTCTTACTCTATACGCGGTCGGAAATATGTACATGATGATCTTTCCCGACAAGATCATCAAGCCTACTGTCCGGTGTCCATACTGCAGGCAGTATATCAGTAAATCGGTAAGTAGTTTGATCAGGTGTGAGTTTTACCTCGGCTAATTGTTGATTGTCCAAAGGCGCTTCGCTGTCGTCATTGCTCAACATGGCAAGACGGAAGGGAAGACGAGCCTCGGAGTGATAAAAGCTCTCGCGAGGAACTGGCTAATGCCGAGCCGAGTCGTGCTGGGCAAATTTCCTAGGTTGTACTAGATGACGGTGGATTTGTGAGGTACTGTTACCCTCACGAGGGCGCACGTGAGGGTAACAGGTACAGACAGTTTCCCGTTGCAATTTTTGTGCAGTTGTTTAGCGAGTCCGATTATGCACGAGTAGATGATGTGATTTGATTTATTGTTGTTATTGATCGAGGGCTGTGAAAACCTCGGAAAGACCGTTGGATTTGATGAATTGGGATGTGAATTGAATGTACAAGAAGCTGTATAATACAGACACCAGAATGCCAGATCTAAATTTCTATACCTCTATATCGACCACCATTCGAATTCAGTCATATCCTGTACCGGCAAAGTATGTTGCTTGCGGCGCCACGTCCTGCGGGCATGCTTGGTGAACGCGTCGGGAGGAGACCAGGCTGCCTCCCAGGTCTGAGGGTGTCTCAGAGTGGTTTTAGATTGGAGAATACCAAAGCGGAAATCAAGGGGATTGAAAGTCCCTGGAGGAGACGGCAGTCGCATGTAGTAGCGGACGCTGTCGGGAATCTCATCGGCCACATGGCTAGTCATGATCAAGGCTTGATCCTCCGTGAGACCAGTGAACCGGAATTCCGACTCCTTCGAGGAGCGGGCTTGAACATTAAGTGCACGGCGTTTAGGTCTCTCGCCATTTTCTAAGAAATGCAAGCACGCGTTACGCTGTGCTGCAGATAAGCCCGAGAAAGCTTCGTCGAGAATAACAATGTCCGGCTTGGCGACGATGGCCCGGAGGAAAAGCACAATGCGTTGTTGTGCGGTGGTGAGCTCACTGAAGAGAATTTCATCTGCGTATCCAACAATGTGATCCATTAACGCGTATGTACCTAGCTTGACGTGAGTCCGCTTCGTGAGTGACGGGAGACCGGCAGTCGATATTTTTGGTACCTCACCCGGGGCGTAATTTGGATCCAGATGGGGCTGGAAGAATTGCAGGACTGCGGATATATCTTGATCGCGTTGAATGTTCAGCTTCGGCTTTGACAGGAAGGTCTCGGCGAAGGCACTCTCAAGTGCTGCACGGATTGATAATTGACGCGGGAAGAACGCATGGATCTCCGGTGATGAATGTCCAATGCGGGACTGCAGTTCAAAGATTGAAATTCCTGGTTTGCCAGGCTCCGGAAGCCTGGATCGTCCGAAAAGTTTGACAGGCTGTGCATACGCTTGCGGATGGTCGGATGTGATCATTGATAGCAATGTTGTCTTGCCTGACCCGTTGGGACCAAGGATCGCCCAGCGTTGCCCCCGACGTACTCGCCAATGCAGCCCATCCTTTGCTTCGCCATTTACGTTCTGTTGCCAATTACCGAGTACTACCTTATCCCCGTACTTGACATGAACTCCTTCCATATCAATGACTGGCTCTCCGCCCAAGGGTGCATGGACTTCTGTGGACTTTATCTCATTCGTATGCGCCACTAAATCCCCAAGGAGTTCTTTGTCCAAGACACCAGCCTTCAAGTCTGCTGTACATTTCTCCAATATTTCCGCTTGCCGGTCGGGTAAAGAGTCCGGCTTAGACTTATTTGCGACGTAGCTCCAGACATTGAGCGTGTCTTCGATATCTGGCTTTGGCCCTTGCAGGAGAACCTTATGGTCATTACCCAAAACCATAATGTGTGTGATCCAGTCCGGCACCTTGTCCTGGGGGCGCAGAGCTAGAATGAGCCGCGGGGCGCTCTTCTTCGCTAATTCATGAAGAAGGTTAGAGATCTTCCTCACTGCCACCGGGTCCAATCCCACTAAGTAGAGGTTAGAATATCACAGCCATCGAATGTGAATCAGAAACACTTACTGAATGGCTCGTCAAGAAGCAATAGCTCTGGTTTGCTTAGAATAGCCTTTGCAATTCGCGCTCGACGAGTTTGACCATTGCTTAGACTCGAGACTGGCAAGAGGAGAAGATTTCCTAGCTCAAGACTTTCAACAGTCCGCTGGAGAAAACGTTCATCATGTAGCGTGCCATTTTCATCGCCCTCCATCGGATTCAAGGAGGTCTGGCCCCGCAAGTATTGCAGCACGGTCCAGTCGGTTTCCTCCCGGTAACTCTCATAGCGAGCACTGAGATATGCGCCACGGACTCCTCCAATGGCCCCCGAGCCCTCGCCGCTGAAACCGACATATTGGACCGCATTTTCAATCACGCGTAGTTGTGGGTCTTTTTCGGCGATCTCGTCTGTGAGAAGGTACGGATATGAACGTGCCTTGGGCGGGATACAGATGTGTTGGCCGCGGAGGATATGCAGGAGGTCGGTTCGGCCGGCTGGACCAATTATAGCCCAGTGTTGCAGAGGTGCCTTCTTGGTTGCACCGTTAACATAAATAGCGGGCAGAGTGAAGTTCAGGTTTGGGAAAAGAGGTGGATTGGACGAGTCTTCGGAGGTTGGGTATTTCTTGTAAAAGGTTCCGTCTTCAATACGAAGGAATGGGATTTCGGACTTGAAACGGGTCGGGCGGTAAGCCGTGAGCCGCAATGCCCTCGGTCGCAATTTCGTTCGGAGTAGCATTGTCGCCATCAACTTACTGGAAACGTCGCAAAAGTGCGGAGATTGGAGATTGGAGATTCGGGGTTAACATTTTACAGGTCACGTGACCTCATGCTGATTCGGCTGTACCTGAGCCTCAAACAGATCCATGATTCGCTACAATACAGTTACATGGTAGAGATCACGAAGGCTGTATATTTGCAATGGCTAATAATCGAACTAGGACATGATATCAGGACTTGTCCCATTATATCATGTGACCTTTTCAATGTCCACTTTTCTGCCTCATCCGAAGCAGTCAAGTAACATCAATAACCAAGTCGTAGATAACTAATCTGAATCTGATATTGATCATCTCTAAGCACATGGAATAACTATTCTCTGGGAGATTGAAACGCCTAAATACCTCACGTGACCGTTCCGATCTGATCGCATCCGATCCCGGGGCCGGATAGCCGTCTGTTTCGGATCTGCATCGTGCGGGGGGAGTTGCATAGCTTGACATTTCGACGTGTTTTATATCTGCTGTCTTTGGGACAATTCGAAGCTCAAGCATTGGACAGAAATACTTGGAATAAAAGCAACAGATATCTATTATCATCGCCGGCAAGTCGTAGTACCTAAATCCTAATATAAATGTAAGCCGACGGCTAATGGGCGGGTGTGGCCACCCGACGGCCAAACTCTCGGGACCCGATTATCAGAGGTCGTCATGGACCTTCCAAGGCTTATATAGCCTGCTCTTACTTCATTTCCCCACAAACCTTCCGCGCATCTGTGCTTTCCACCTAAATCTCACGTGGCAACCACGACGCGTTCACCCGATATCAAATCGCCGTGGAATCTCCATTCGACCAACATTCAAGTGCAAGTATCTACGCAGAGAGAAAGAAGCAACATGCCACCCAGCGCGTACTCCCCGGTCCTTGAGACCAGTCGCATCTTCTCTGCGCTGTGTGACCAGTCGGAACGCTTCGACTTACCACCCGAGGTTCTTGCGAACAAAGACCGCGTCTCGTTCTCTACCAGTCATAATGAAATCTACTTCCCTATTCCCTTTAAAGAGACCGAAACTCTCGCTGCTCTGAAGGGTATCGAAGGTTCCGTGGCTGCAGCCATTG